TAAAAAGGTAATTAACTTGATGTCTTCAGCACGTTCGGGCCAAAAGCGTAAAAAATCATAGCATAACAACTACTGGACATACTTCATTACTATCTCAAATTGCCTGTGAGTGTCCGTGTTTTGTTCGAGATCGATAACTGTCACCTATTCAAGGTGGTCCCATAAAAAAATGGCAGAACTCCATCGTCAAAGGCAAATAATTATATTTTGGCTGGGGTGTGCGATAGACTTACCTCCACGTGGTACACCCTGGGCAACATATACTCATACGGCAAAAAAGTCTATTAACTGGCAGTTGACTTCTCACTTCAAACTACCATCATCTCACTCTATGCAATATTCGACTATTTCCACAGTACTCACCTCACCGTTTTTCTTCCTTTATGTTTGTCTCTTACATCTTTGAAACACTCTTCTGTCCCCCCCCCTCTCGACTTCTTTTTCACTTTGATATTCCTTCCTCTCTGTGAAGCCTGAAGGCAACTAAAGGGCTAATGATAACTATCAAAACGCCTGCCATTTGGTAAAAAATATTTTACTAAATAAAGCCCAACCGGGAAGGTGGAAAAATATGGATTTGCTTATTTATTGGTTACCGAGTTGGATGAGTAAGATAGTGTGAACGGGATAATGGCAAACACTGTCCCTATAAGTGCAATGGAGAGCAATAACTGAAGTATTCCTTTTTTGTTCTAATTAATGTATATTTTATCCATTTTAATTGTATTTATTAAGTAAGCTATTTATTATTTTTTTTCCTTAAATGGAACAAGTCCTAGAATGCGACTACACTGAACAAAAATCTGAACAAATTGAATTTTTTAGATTATTTACGACTTAACTTTATTTCCAACTTCAAGTCGATTTAATCCGATTGGAATTGTTTTGATAATCTAGGCACCTAGATATTTTATCCAAAAAATTTTAAAACTAAAAGCGCAAATATTTATAATCTTGAATCTTTTCGGGTTTGAGAAGAACACCATTTGACAGGTCTAGAGTACTGCAAACACCGGGGTTTTCGAAGTTTTTTCAAGGACAAATTAATAGCATATTTTCAATCGACTAATTTACGTTCTCCCCATTGAATAAGAACGTCATTCTATTTATGACTTATCCACCAATCAAAGCATCAAATGTTGAGAATTATGCGAACGCATTAACCATCTGAAATTTTCAAAAAATTAAGACATTGCAAATTACTATTCCCCCTTTAAAAGCAAAATATCAAGTGCCAAACACTTGCATATATCTATGGGGCACACAATGGTACTATGGGTGAGCAAGTGAGTCCTACGCATACTCAGTTTAAAGGTACAGCCGTGCTACATGTCACGTAGACACAATGTGTGGTCGTGAACACAAGGCTCTCTCAGCCAACCACCAATTAATAGTCGTTGGATTGTTTAACAGACCTCTAATTGTGTTTGAGTGACTAAGCTCAGCGTCAGACGCACGTAACCCAAATAAATGTATTCCACATAGTGCTTCTGTTTTCCATATATACATCGTTGAAGCAGCTTAACTAATTGTGCGAGTCATTCCATACTGCATGATTTTGACATAGATATTACTTAGGATACGTCAAGGCTTATTCGTGGAACAACCCGCTACATATCAATAGATTTTTTATTGGTGTCAGCTATTCCCTTAACCCTTTAATGCCCGAATTATTTTTGTTTTGAAAAATGCACCCAACCGCACTCACGCGTTACCCACACCAGACTGATGACGCCGGAATGAGTTTTGGTGGGGCATCAAGTGCAGGCTACAGACATATTGAATATGTTTCAAACGGTAATAGCGGCTTCTGTTACAAGTCTAGTACCAATTGAACTTATTTTGTAGGAGGACATTACGATCCTAATGGTGTTTAATGGTTAAATAGAACATGGAGACACTTGTTCCAAATTAGATAGCACACGATTATGGTCCTAGAAAACACATCATACCAAAAATTTTGAACTTTTGTCAACTAGGAGTTCTGTAAAGACCAAAATGTTGCCTTATATTAAAGGTAGATAACTTTAGAGTGCATGAATTCTTGAAATATCAGAAAAAGATCTTCAAAATTTGAGATCTACTGGATAGGGAAACTGCAGACAAGTAAAAACTGTGTACCGATATCTACCACTCTTACACAAGCGGACATTAACGGCCAATCGGACTAGGGAAATAGCAGCCCACTGCATTTCGTATCACTCAGGTAGCGTAATGCAAGCAGCTACTCAAACTTATTCGTTTGAAGGATGGTTCTACCAGACAGTTTGATTGATTTCAATATGTTGGCTCAGCCCACGATATTATGAAACAACATAGTTAGCTAAACTGTTGTTCCTCCATTTTTTTCAATTGTCTTCGCATTATTTGATATTTCAATTGACAACTATTTTATTAAACCCTTTAGAAACCTTGTGATAAAAGAAGGCGTCCTCACCATGATTAGGTTGTTGCATGATGAAATTAATCAGAATTCATTCAAAAGATCTACCATATTCTGTCACAAAGGATTATCATGATCTGTGATCGATTCAGTCGTCTCCGGTTCATCAAAAATCCAATTCTATGTGTCTAAATTGGCCCCCAGATTCAGCCAATAGAAGTGTGATTACTAGACGAATCCTGAGTAAAATTTAATTATTTATGATAGTTATCGTTAGTGCCAGTTAATAGACTTTTTGTCATATGAGTATACGTTGTCCGTGATACACCACGTAGAGGTAGGTTTATCGCATTTTCTCTTCTTAGTAACGTAGTGGACCTAATAAATTAGATTTGACTACGTTTTGTAACGGTTAAAGAATGCACTAGGTATATTTACACAAAAATACTCACACCCATAATTCAATTGATATCCAATAAATTTAATTTTAAAATTAATTGAAGTTAAAAATCATATGGGAAAATTGTCGCAAAAATTCGATCTCTTTTAAGGACATTCAAAATGCAGGTGGCGTCTTAGCCCCCCCCCTCACCCGCTTGCTCTATTGCTCACACGATAGTGGCGCGCTTTTCGTTGCCATGACCGAATATTAAATAACCTTGAAACCGAAATGGGGTGATTTTCGTGTTTTATGGTGCTCTTTTGGCATAAAATTTCCATATTTAATCTCTGTTGGATGTCGCAAGTCGTGTTTTATCTATAAACTACTGTCTTGCGCTTTTTCATCCGCGGAAGTTTTAACAAAAAGAGCATAAATGCAATAATTGTTAATGACCAACTTGTTGACTAAAAAAATTTATCGTCAGTTCTACCAGTTTGAATAGTAATTCAAATGACTTTTTAAATTCTTTCAATTTTAGAGAAACCTACTTTTGAACTCTTCTAAGTTGAAACTTTAGCCTTCTCAGCTTTGCTATATCTAGGCCATACAAAATGCATCAACTTTGCATGGTATCGCTGATAACACCCCCGAGTTTTGAATTATCAGACGTGAACTGTCGAGCAAGCTTGCTTTCCACTTCCCGGAGAGAGACGCCACGTAATGTACATATTAGTGCCTCGAAAATACCCTCAACCTTTCCTATTTTAATAATTGAACTTAATTTCAAACAATCTCAGACCTGTTTCTACAATAATTGCATTTTAATGTTCACTTTCAGATTGTTCTTGGACGTTGGCTTTAATTTTTTTTTTCAGTGCTTAAAGCCCTGAACAATTCTAACGGGTTGATCCACAGCGTCTGCATTGTGATTCTGTTACACCATCATTCTACCTCACGCGAAATATGATAAGAGTCACAGAGAAAACAAAACAAATTTTCAATTCTCTATTAGCTATTTTTGTAAGCTATTACCTTCTATAAATTGGGGAAAAATTCAGATAAATTATACTCTTCCAAGCTGTTGCTTCGTACCTAAGCCCTTTAACTGAGTCAGAAATTAGACAAATACTTATTTTTGTATCTGAATTCAAATTGGATCTGTGAAATACGCATTTCTAAAATTAATAAACAAAGCAAAATTCAGGACGCGCGACGCGATGCTTGATAGCGTTAGGGATCAAACGAGGTCTTTTGACTAATCAATAATCAATAGTCATCATAGTTTCAGCCTAAACAAAAGCTTATTCAATGACAAAACCCTGTACCAGTTTCCCATTAAAGGGAGACATATCACACGTCGCGCGTCAGTTTCCTCTATATCGCCGAGACGGCTTGTCCAATTTCGGGAACATATCGATACTAAGAGAACAAGGGCATTTGAGTTGAAGTCCGCAACAACTCATGACAATTTCATTTTAACAACATTAGGAATCCTAAAAAATCGGTTGGTTAAAAGTGTATGCACGAAACTCTTTGGTGAAGCTAGGAATCGAGGGCTTAAGTACTTCGCTTTTAGAAAGGAAGGACATTTATTTCAAATGAATCATGATTTAAAAGTGTGCTAGATACTTCCACCGCTTTTGTCTCGTAAATGTGCCTTCAATGCATCTATTTAAAAAACAATAGAGGAAGCTCAGCCAGCTTGGCATGGAAAAGCCTAATTCTGGCAACTGAATTGAAGAAACATCAAACGATTTTCAAGAAAACTTTTCGACCGAGTTACCATCTTTCACAATTTCTTTACACATTTCACCATTTTCATAGTCAATCAACCCAGATGTTGCCCAACACAAATAGATCTATTGATCTATAGGTTACGAAATCGCTTAACCACCGACATTGTTAGTCAAAATAACTACTCAAAAGTAACAGGACGATTCACACATATCTTGGAGGCTACAAAAAGGAGAACTGATAAAGTGTAGAATAGAGTAGAACTGAATTATTTCTGGCAGGCAACAAAGTGAACAGTACTCGTATATTTGAAGTAATATTATAGTCGCTTTAACCAGAGGTCCGACTGTAGAGTGGATATGGAAACCAGCGAATTTGGCAAAACATGCTGACTCGAGTGAGGTGGAAGTATGGCCTCACACTGCCCATGTGGGAGAGTCAGTGATACATGAGGGGGAGGGGGAGGGGGAGGGGGTGGCGTGGAGCGTGGAGTGTGTCGCGATGGCCGAGTGGTTAAGGCGATGGACTAGAAATCCATTGGGGTCTCCCCGCGCAGGTTCAAATCCTGCTCGCGACGACACTCACCATGTTCGACTCCTCTTTTCCATTACTGTTTGCGTGCTCACGCTCACGTGGCACATTCCCATCTCTCACTCCGATTTTGCACCAAACCCACCAAATAGTCCAGAAAAGCACTCTTCTCCATCCATGTGGATCTGCGAAGAGAGTTGCAGCAGAGTTCGGTTTGTAAAATCTACAATTTGTCTCCATCGAATTGACAATTACACACTCATTCTCAACGAA